GAGCAAAGTAATCTGAAAATTATACAAACTCATGGATTTTAAACAACACGCCTAGCGAATCATGAATGTCTCTGAGTAATTTTAGAATGCAGCTATAGGTTGCCTTATGGTGGCGTTTGTTATTATTTTTTAAGAGTTTATCCTAAAATTTGACTAATCCAAGAGGTTCTGTGAACTCGGAAAAAAAAAAAAAACCATCAGAAACTTCCAGAGACATTATTCCAGTTTTCTGGTTCTATCTTAGACATTGCAAATTCCTTCTAGAAGACTGAAATAGAAATAGAGAAAAAGGAGGAGGACAAGAGAGAAGGAGGAGGAAGAGAAAAAGGAGAAGAAAGAACCAGCAAGGAAAGAGAGTAGCAAAGGATGGGCAAGAGGAAGAAAACAAGGAAATGTCTGCCAAAGAGGCCGCTAGATTTCTGTAGGAAGACACCTTTTTTTTTCATTGGTATTTCTATGAATGGCCTGTGGTCTTCCAGGAACTTAATATCAGGGTGTTCTACAACATCTTGCCTACATTGAAAATATTGATTAAAAGATATTTTCAACAATTATATTTGTTAGAAGATGAATTCATTGTGAGATTAATTTACATTCAGCCCTAGTGTATCTAAGTTGTCTTGAAAAAGAAAAATAGGTTGAGTTATAGAAGTCAACAAAATAGAATTAGTTAGAAAAATACAGTAAAACAGCCATTTGGATGGTGGAGCTTCTGGCTCCAGAAAGTATCCCGTGTGTTCCAGCGTTATGTAGGAGTAGTTCCTAACAGCTATAGCAATGGAGGCAGCAGGGAGTGAATGATCAGGAAAGAAGTGGCGTGCCCCTTAAAGCAAGCTTCACTAGAAGTCAAGTGCAGATGTTGAAACTTTATTAGATCTTATGCCTAGGATTATGTTCACTATTCATGTGCATTAATTTGTGTTTGTTAATTATTAAAACTTAATGAGATTCTTCTGAAACAATATTGAAAGTTCTCATTTTGAAGTTGGCCCTTCCTTGCTTGCTTTATTTTTATTTTATTTTATTTTTTTAGTTTTTCATTATTAAACAAGAGGTGAATTAACCCCTCACATTACTTCTTTCTACTGTTGCTTTATAACTATTAATGATTATTTCTTTTTGCCTATTGCTAGCAACATTTTATCCTCTAGACAACCAGATTTAGACGTAATTTTATTATAGCAATTACAAGTTAAGCATTAGGAGTACTTGGTAAATGGGAAGAGTTATCATTTATGTATATTAAGCAGTTTATATTTCCAATCACTCAAATAGGTAGAGACTCTAGCATATATTATTTTTATAAGAAATTTCATTTAGTATTGCAATAGCCATGTCAGCTAATTGACCAGTTTTCTGTTGTTTTGCGACAAGATTTTACATAACCTAGGCTGGTCCCCAAATCCAAACCCTTCAGCCTCTAGCTTCAAGTGCCAGGGTTGTGTGGACATGCCATCATAACCTGTTACAACAGCCTATTAGGGATACATCATTGTCTTTATATCACAGAGGAATTAATGATGAGGATGAACCTCCTGGATGACAAATCTGATGGCTGAGCTACAGGGTCTCTGCTTTCCCACACCACAGTCCTTTAGAAACCCGAGGAAAGGAAAGGACACATGCGTTAACAGGCAGGTCCTGATACGCAAACCCCAATTCCTTTAGAGGTTCTGACTTTTAACTCCCTTTGTTCCGCAGTAGCTGCTTCTTTCTCGAGCTATTTATTTCTTTTTTCTCTGTAGTGATCTTAGTTATCTTTTTTTCCGCCACCTTGGCCTCATTAGAAAGACTGAAATGAACAAGGCAAGGAAGGAAAACATCTGAAGAAAAGTAGTTTTTCACCCATGAAAAAGCGTGTTTGGAGACCAATGTACCTAATAAAATAAGTCTTGCACACTAGGAGAAAAGTTTGCCACTGCCAAAATAGCAGAAAGATGGCTGAGGAGCTGGAGATTTCACCACACACACACACACACACACACACACACACACACTGCAGAAGATACATATGTGTGTGACATGTACCCTATATATTATCATTTTATAGATTATATTATACAATGCATATAATTGCACACACAAAATGATTACATTCATGCTTTTGTAATATACGTCATCCGGAAAACAGCTTATTCTACCAATTTTGTTGCCAGAGCAGAAGAGAGTTCATTGATACAGGAAGGCAAATCCACTCGAAGGCCTACAGCTCCTCAGGCACACACAGACACTTAAGGATGCTCTTACATACCAACTAGCCTGAAATGAAACAAAGGAGACTGAATGACGTATTTGAGGAGTACCCCTATTAGTGGTCCTGATAGGTGGGATAGTAGGCTCAACAGAACAAAAGAGCAAAACCGCAAAATGAAAGGTGAAATTGTACAGAAGGGTTACAACTGTAGACAGAATACTCTAGTTCGCAAGTGTTGAACAATAATCTTAAGCAAAGATTAGACAGTGTGGCCCGAATGAAAGCGGGATTTCTGGAGTCAAGCTGCCTTGAGAAGATTTCTTAATTTTTGTAGCTGTGAACTCTTTTTTTCTAAAGCTGGGCTAGAGATAATGTCTGTGAGGATCAAATAAGATAACTTATGTTAAGACTCAGGATGGCACCGGGCATGTAACAGATGCTTAGTAAGTACTAGACACATTTGTTCCGTGCAGGACGGAGCAGTGCTGGAGAAATGAATGTCCCTCCCTGGGCCTCCTGGTAACCTGGCCTCTCTGGGGCTGAGGATGGTAGCTTGGCTATTGGTTGCTTTACATCTAATATCCACCTCTGAGTCTTTCTGGGTCTGGGTTACCTCATTTCGGATGATTTTTTTAGTTTCATCCACTTGCCCGCTAATTTCATGATGTCATTGCTTTTTTTTTGTTTGTTTGTTTGTTTGTTTTTCCACTGAGTAATACTCCATTGAGCACCTCATTTTCTTTATCCATTCTTCAGTTGAGGGGGCTCTAGGTTGTTTCCAGGTTCTGGTTATTATGAATGAAGCTGCTATGAACATAGTTGAGTAAGTGTCCTTGTGGTAAGGTTGAGCATTCTTGGAATGTATGCCCAAGAATGGTATTGCTCGGTTGAAAGGAAATGGACTGCTGTGGAGGGGAGTAGGGTGAAGATGGGAGAATGGGAACATGAGAGATCAGGATGGTCGAGTTGGAGGCAGGAGGGAGGGGCAGAGTAGTGGGAGAGATATCTTGATAGAGGGGGCCATCGAGGGGTTGGGGAAAAACCTGGTGCCAGAGAAACTCCCAGGAATCCACAATGATGACTCCAGCTAAGACTCAGGGCAACAGTGAAGAGGGTGCCCTAACTGACTGTCCCTTGCAATCAGATTGGTGACTACCTTAATTGTCATCATGGAGCCTAGTCTAGTACTTTATGGAAGTAGATGCCGAGATCGCTGGCCAAGCACAGGGCCGAGCTCCCGGAATCCAGTTGAGGAGAATGTGGAAGGATTGTATGAGCAATTGGAGGTCAAGATTGTGATGGGGAATCACAGAGACAGCTGACTTGAGCTTGTGGGAGCTCATAGACTCTGGACAAAAAACTGGAGAGCTGGCATGGGATCGTCCTGGGCCCTCTGCATCTGGGTGACAGTTGTGTAACTTGTTCTTTTGTGTGCCCCCTGGCAGTGGAACTAGAACCTGTCCTCAATGCATAGACTGGCTCTTTGGAACCTGATGCCTATAGTAGGATGCCTTGTTCAGCTTTGGTGCAGGGGTGGCTGGGGTAGGTGCTTGGTTCTGCCTCAACTTGATATGCCATGCTTTGTTGATTCCCATGGAGGCCTTACCCCATCTGATTGGAGACAAGAAATGGATGATGTAGGTGGGGGGAGGGTGAGGAAGGGGGGATGGGAGTGGAAGGGAGGCTTGGGAGGGAGCAGGAGGAGAGGAGGGAGGAGGAACCGCTGTTGGTATTCTAGAGCTGTGGAATTTGCATAGTGCCAAAACAGCCCTGTCCGGCCCCAAAAATTCACCAAATAGATTAAAGATACAGGCTGTGTAAGCCTTTTTTGGCTCAGTATATTAAGTTCCTCTAGAACCCGCTCACTTTGTAGACTATAATTAGCTGAAATATAAATGCCTTTCCCAGGGGATATCCACTGTGAGAGTTTATAAGCAGATTTGTCACTCTGGGAGTATTTTAAGTAGTGGGAGGTAGTTATGAACACAAAGCCACTCCCTACCTTGTTGCCTCCGTGGTGCTCTATAGAAGGTCATCGGACTCAACTGTAAATGAAAATTCTTCTCATGAGAATTTTGGTACTTGGTCACATTGATACTTGGTCAAACCTTCTGGCAAAACTGAGAATTTATGTTCCCATGGTCCTTCCTTTGGAGCTGTACTTTTGGAGCTGTATGTTTAATAGGTCACTGTCCGATGACCCATTTTGTCGTTGGCAGCTACTCTTCAGAACTGCTGCTCATGCTGCCTGCTGGAACTGTCTTCCAGTAAGCGGGGCGTTAAGTGGAAAGGACGCCACTTGGCCTCCTGCCGTCTCTAAAGACCACCGGCTTTATGAGATTGAGATGCCGGATCTTGAACCTCTCTGGTTGCCTGATTCTGCAGCTTTCTGCTGTCAGACAGCTCTACAGGACACTTTCACGGGAAGCTTAACTTCATCTGCTGATTTTGCACTGGACATTCTAGACGGCACATATTTTGATGCTTGTCTTCCAGGTGTTTGAACATTTTCTACTTTTCTTTAAAATATAAATCTTACGTGCAGAAACATTCATCTTTCTGAAACTTTGGGTAAGGCCAGACCTTGAAAGGAAGGACAAAACTTTGATAAGAACCAAGAACTGTCCCTTTCCACCATCCACACAGTGTCAACCACTGATGGAGGAAGGACATTGGTTAATTATAATAAAGAAACTGCCTCGGCCCTCATAGGACAGAAAATTAGGTAGGCAGAGTAGACAGAAGAGAATCCTGGGAGAAAGAAGCTGAGTCAGAGAGTCGCCATGGTTCTCCCGCTCCAGACAGACGCAGGTTAAGATCCTCCCTGGTAAGCCAGCTCATGGGCTACACAGAATATTAGAAATGGGTTAGAACAATATGTAAGAGCTAGCCAATAAGAAGCTGGAACTAGCCGGGCCAGGCAGTGTTTAAAAGAATTCAGTTTCCGTGTAATTATTTCGGGCATAAGCTAGCCAATGTGGGCGGCTGGGTGCCGGGGACGCAGCCCTGCCGCCCCTATTTCAACAAACCACCCACGGCAGGCTCACCGGAAGATGGGGTGCTGGACTATTCTACCTTCTTTTTTAAGACTCAGTTCCCTACACAGTCACCTTTGAAGGTTATGTCTTCCTTTTCTCCCGTTGTCCTGTGCTCCTCAGAGAATCTAACTGCCCACCCACTGTATCTTCCTCCTGGCTCTTTCTTCCAGAACCCCTGGATTTTTTGTTCTTCCTGCACACTGCAGAAGCATTCACACCATGTGGCCTGGCCTATTCAACTGTTCAGTGTTGTGTTAGCAAGAGTTTCCTCTACCTACCCTGTATTCAATATGAAGGCCCTGTGTCAGTCATCAGGACTACCTCCTGTATTAAGAACTCTGCTTTTATAAATTGCAGTCCCATCCTATTTCCTGGTTTACATTGATTTATTCATTTACCTTCCTTTTCCATTATAGAATAAATTCTCCAAAGGCAAGGATTATGTTTTATTAGATATCATGTTCTCAGCCATTATAATGGTACTTGGCAAACAACAGGTGATAAATATGTATTTCCCAATGAATGACTGATATCTACTTGTTCCTGATCCTAAATGGGAGAATGTAGTAATTTATTTGTTTGTGATTAATTTCTCACAATGAGATGGAGCTAATTGCTAAGTATCCACCAAAACCTAGAAGGGCAGTGTTTATGGGTGAACAACAGAATCTTTATGTGTTTTTAGATTATCATTCCTATATGAGCTGAGAGAAGGAAAATTTGCAGCATATACTAATGACACTCACATGGGCTGAGGAGAGGAGGGAGGTGTAACAGTATTGTTAAGAGCCCCACTAAATGCTGGGTATGGTGGCCCATGGCTGTATTTCTGGTCCTAAGGAGGAAGAGGCAAGCAGGTCCTGGGGTTCGGTGACCAGACAATCTAGTAGAACCAGGGAGGTCCAGGTCACATTGGGAGACCAAGACTGAAGAAAAGGCTGATGGCTTTTAAAGAAGGAAAGTCTGTAAGGTTCAGTGTGGCTGGCTTTATGTTGAGGTCTTTGATCCATTTGGACTTGAGTTTTGTGCATGGTGGTAAATATGGATCTGTTTTCATTCTTCTACATGTTGATATCCAGTTATGCCAGCACCATTTGCTAAATATGCTTTCTTTTTTCCATTTGATATTTTTTTGCTTCTTTGTCAAAAATCAGGTGTTCAAAGGTGTGTGGATTGATATCTGGGTCTTCTGTTCGGTTCCATTGCTCGTCCCGTCTGTTCTTATGCCAATACCAGGTTGTTTTCAGGACTGTAGCTCTGTAGTAGAGTTTGAAATCAGGGTTTGCGATGTCAATAGTAGGTTTCTGTAGTGATATTTTGTATATGTTTTAACAAATAAAGCTTGTCAACAGAGCATTTTCGTAAAGAGATGTGAATCAATCCAGGGTTGTCAGCCAGACTATGTGTTACTATTTCAATTTTCAAGAGTGCTAGAAGCATCATTTGTTGATGATATGAAACATCTTCCCCTCTTTCTATCATGTCTTAGAAGTTTTGTTAGTGTTTTTAAGCTGGGCATTCCCAATACTCTTAAAGATTTTGTTTGCAAATGAAGGAACAATTTAGAATTTATTCTGAAATTAATCTATAATTAATCTTTGAAGAAATTACATATGAAATTAACCATATCTATAGCTTTAATATTTAGCTGTTTCAATGTTAATGGCTTCATTTGGTACCGGGAGACCAAAAATCATTCTATCTTAGGTCTTTTTCAGTTTAAAAAAAAAAGCTGAAATCTTGTTTATTTTGTTAAGAACATTTATTATGGAATCTATCCTATTAGTTGATTTTAAGCTTATTAAAACTTTTCAGTGGATACAAGATTGTACATAAGATTTTTAGCATTACTTCACCTAGTTGAAATTTCATCCAACTTGATTCATTTGAATTTTTATGATGATACAAGAAAGAGGTCTGATTTTGTTCTTTGAACAATATCCAATTTTCTCAGCTTATTGACGAGGAAATCTTTCCTGTGGTCTATCATTAGTGTCCAAGTAAACTACCCAGTGGTCATGTGGGGTCAGTATGGTCTCTGTTTCCCCCCACCAGGTGATAAACCTGTCTTTGTGCTGGGGCAAGCTTCTACAGTCCAACCATGGCCGTCTGTGTCACCTTGCACATCATACCCGACTGCCTCCTTCCTTTCTTCCCACCTCCCCTCCCCCTTTCCTTTTTATTATTCTCATTTCTCTTTGGTCTAAAGTTTAGAATTACTAAACTATCAATGAACAGAGTCAAGCAATGCATCAGAAACAGGTGGGTTAAATTCTATTTAATGAACATCTATTTCTTTATTAATCCTATTGACGATTTTATGACTTCTTATTTTACTAATTTCGCTTGTACAAACACGCTCTTGAATAATAGCTTATGCATAAGATAGCTTATTTAGTCGAGAGGCAATACTTCATTTGTCGTTCTTGTATTAACTCTGTGTTTGTGATTCCTTCCATCCCTCTTGGTGATTTTATTAGGTACAAATTTAAGCTGGATGATCCAGCCCAGGTGTCTGTACACAAAGCCCATAGATACCAAACATCTTGGTTTTTTTGTTTGGCCTGCAAGATAATACTGTTTTAATATTCTAAGTGACTGAAAGAATTCAAGACTAGTATTTTGTGATTTAATAAAATTATGTAAAATCAAATGTTAATGTCATAATTCAGGGTTTTCTGGGAACATAGTTCTTTGTACAATGGCTGTGGCTTCAACACTGAACACCTACAGTATGGATCACATTTCTGAAAAACCTAGCATCTCATCTACTTCCTGGCCCTCTACAGGTAACACGTGCCATGTTTTTTGTAGGCTCTGCTATAAAAAACAAGAAATCCAGGGTATCTTCATAATTAGGAGTTGGGGCTTCCTATTGGATGCAGGAACTGACTCCAGGGGAGGTGGAGTCAGTTACAGAACATTTTGGGTTCTTTTGGCATGAAAGACTCCTATTAAAATGGGCAAAGAAACAAAAGCATCCAGCCTGCACAGGCGATAAAACTCAGAAGCCTTCACAAGGGATGCACAGAAAGCCTGAATTACCCACCTTCGGCAGGAGGCTCTTCCCAGAATTTTAAAGGGTCTTTGCCACATGCCTCAGGATCCAAATAACATTCTAGAAAGTTACATAGGGTAGTCTACTGTCTTTAAATGTTTCCTAAATATTTATGACTTATTTCATGTGGGGTGAAGGAGGAGCCATGTCAGAGGGAGAGGTCAGACACGTGGGAGCCATCTTCTCCTCCCACTATGTGGGTTCTGGGGATCAAATACAGCCTGCCAAGTTTTTCAGCAAGCATTTTTAGCAGCTGAGACATCTCATTGGCCCCAAGAGGTCTTTTATTTACCATTAAAGGCTTTGGTAGACAGATCATTGTTGCAAAATAATTTTTAATTTACCTTCCTTTATTACTCTCTTGTCTTTTTCTAAGTTACTGTCAATTGTATTATATTATATTTGGTACAGCAAACACATTGGATTTTTCTACTTTGATTTGCAATGTCTTTATTTAAATTACTCATAATAACTATTAATGAGTCAATGGTAATTATTATTCAATGAAGACTGTGATTGGAAATATTTAAAATCCATTAAATGAACTATTTGGAGCTACATGGGGAAAATGTAAAGTAGAAGTACATTGGAAACATAGCAATAGATATTCTTTAACGACACAAATGTTATCCCAAGTTATGTCCTCATACAGTATTCATATGTATACACACACATATGCAAGGCAACCATCATGGTAAGTAAGCTTGCCTGTAATAGTAAGAGAAAAAGAGATTGTGTTTATGGAAACAATAATCGCCAAATGAAGTGTTTTTGAATACCAGCACTGGGCCAACTAGTGAACCATCTGGTTGCAAAAGTTGCTTCTAGGGAAAGAGGTCAGTGGGTGGTGTGATTTAAGTGCACACATCTTGGAAACTGCTTTCAAAGCCAGTGGAACTTCTGGAAAGACTCAGATTGGCCCATTGTGAAGAGGAATTTTACTGAATGCACCCAGGTATAGGGGAACTAGGATTAGATAATAAAACTGCCCCACTTTCCTGGGACTAACCCGGAAGCTGCATTTCACACTATGAAAGTGGTAGTGTTTGTGGTCTATACTCTGGGGGTGAAACCGAGTTTTAGTTCAAAGCTTGTAGCACACTGCTGCTTCAGAAGCTGTTCCTGCCTCCTCAGGCCATTTCATTAGCTGATTTCTTGCAGGTATCAGGTACCGTGAGCAAAAAGGAGACCAGCGTCTGACTGACACTCTGTAGGGCCCTCTTGGCTGCAAACGTGCGTTGCTTGGAATGTCTCTAAAGTGAAGCTTGTCTAACTAATCCTGCCCATGTTCAACACACACATTCCCAAATCTCTGGAGTAGTCGTGGTACTTATCAGACAATAGATAAGAGAAAATTGTTTTAAAATATTCATTGGTCTGTTTATAAATATAGTTCTCATTTCCCCACTGATACCAATATTTCCTTGAGAGCAGTAATTATTGTTTTGCTTATTCTTCAAATACATCGTACACGTTGGGTAAAGAGAGTTTATTTCTTTGGCTCATTTATTATTTATACTCTATTTAGTGTTCACAGAAAGATTTGAGCTGGTTTATAGTAGACTTAATAAAACCATTAAACAACGATTTTTTTTTACAGGGACAAAAGGGCCGACAAGATAATGGCCGATAAATGCTCTTGCCGCCAAACCTGACTACCTGAGTTTGAACCCCTGAGAACCCACGTGAAGGATGGGAAGAACTGACTCCCACACGCTGCCCTCTGACTGCCACAGGAACGCTGTGACTATCTTTCCCTACCCTCAACACAATAAATTAAAAATGCAATTAGAACACAAAACCGAGAACCATAATTTTTGCCAAGACAATTATATTGTAAATTCTAGGGCATTTTGCCACCAAGTTTGTCTCTGAACTTCATAGGAAAACAGCTCGAAGAGAATGCAGTGATAGTAGGCTGTGGTTCTAGCGCATGAGCCGAAGGGGCACTTGTCTCTTGTCGGCTTAGAATCAGTGCTATGTGATGGAGCCCCGGCACTAGTGTTATGAACTTCGTGGACGTTTTACTGCTGGTGGGTGCTAACTGTACTCGCTGTGTCCTTCCTCCCTGTCTTTATGAGATGAACATTGCTTTTGTCTATGAAACATCAGCTTGTAAGCAGCTAGCATTGGCCAAGTGGCCATTTAGCTTGACTTTCTGATGGATGACTGGGATGAGTTTCCCACGGAGACAGCCCACTGTTTCTCAGTTCATTCATCTTCCTGTCTCATTAGACACCTGCATCAAGCCGGGGAATGCCAAAGCGTTACGGTCCTCAGGACTCCGAGAAGGAAAGCATGAGAATATAGCTAAAGAAAACGCATTTCCTCCAAGTCTGTACATGTTACTGCCTTACTGAAAACAGAAGCACAGATTATGTTCCTCTCAGGCTACGGTAATGTAAAATACTCACGATGCTGTTGAAGTGACTAAAAGCCCAGGGTATGTGTTTCACAGAACAGTTTATACCCGAACAGGTGACCACTGCAGCAGGAGCCTATGTAAGGCATGGTAATGGTCCCGTGTCAACCTGCTCAGGTTAAGGGGCAGCGAGATCGGATAAAACATCATTTCTGGATGCTTCTGAGGTGCTGTTTTAAAAGACTGGCCTTTGAATCCGTGGATTGGTTGTCACCAGGAGGGAGGGCATTGCTGAGCGTGGCAAGGGCCTGAGAAGAACAAAACCCCAGGGAAGGATGGGTTTTTCTCTCTTTGTATCCCTGAGCTAGGGGCTCCACTCCACTACCCATCCCATGACTTTCAGTGTTGGAATCTTGGTTCTTCAAACTTCAGAACTCACATCGTCCAGTTTCTCAGCCCCTGAAATCAAGTGAGCTCAATACGCTCTGCGGTAAATCTCCCGGTAAATATTTCCATTTCACCAGTTTTCTTTCTCTGAAGAAACCCAAGTAGCAAATCTGCTCATGAGGTGACAAAGCTCCAGCATTTAATTAGAGTCCTGTAAGGACTTGGAATGTAGAAACGCGGCATGGTTAATCAAGGAATGCACTTTCCGCCTTCTAAATACTTACGGAATTAAGCACAGAAGCCCTGAGGGCTGGCCCGTTCCTGTGGTGACTAATTTCAAATAACAATGTTAATTCTGAGCTGTCATAGTCCCTAGAATAATCCTATAAACTTATATCCTGCTTTTAGCTAATTGTTCTTGATTGAGAAAATGAGACGTCAGCTCAGCGCTTCAGATGCTGGCGAGTCCCTGCGGTCCAAGTCCTTGCTATTACTGACTTAGACCAAGAGTTAGAAGCTTCATAGAGAGAGTGGCACAGCAGATACCCAGGCTTGGCGAGCCTGTGTCTGTGGCCTTTCTCTGCCACTTCTGCAGAAGGAGAGGTGTTGGGCGGCAACAGAGGCTTCTGCTCCGTGTACTTCCAGATGCTGACGCTGATAGAAATCTTTAGAGATCCACTATTCGGTACCATTTCACATATAAGGAAACAGAGCCATGGATTGCCCTGAGAAAAGAGTTTAAACACCTCAACAGAGCTCATTGTAATCACACTTGACTTTGTTAATCTGTTTGCTTTGGTGACTTTTATTCCCACACTCATTTTTAAGTTAATAATTGGACTCTTCATTTAATAGGCTTTTGCGAATGGTCTTCTCCATAGAAAGCAGAGCGATGCCTTAAGGAAAGGTACATCCTTGCTTTTCTTTTCTGTGATGAAGTGTTCAGGATTTGCCTAATGCATTTGGCTTGCTATCAGCTTGCTTAATTTTATGCATAAGGCAAAAATCCTTTGCCCACTGATTCCTGTAGTGCTTTGGCCTTAGTAGGATAAGATGCTTGGTGAGTTCACTTCCCATTGTTACTGTCATCACGTGCAGGCCATCCAGAGCCTGTGTTATGGAGTCCCGATGAGTGACCATGGATTAGTGCCTTTCATGGCCAAGTCACCATGACCTCTACCTTTTCCATTTTTATCAGAGTCTTTTTCTTCTTTTCTAGAGCCACAGACAAATGTGGGCTTGACCTCATGTACTTTATCAATGTAAGGAACAGAAATGAGAGCAAACAATTGCTACAGGAAACCCTAAATATCTATTAAGTGGCTAGAAAAATATTTTCAATACACCTAAAGATTGGGACAAGAACTCGATCGATCACAGTAATAGCAGAGATGACAGAAAGAAGTCTCCTGTTACAATGGGACTAGGGACGCTCAGACTTCCAACACGCATTCTTTAGAGGCACATTTAACTCTAAGATGCAAGCATCTTCCCACCCTAACTGTGTGGATAATCTTCTAGAAATAGAAAGAGTACCATTGCTGGAAGGCGTAGTTCAATGGTACAGTATTGGTCATTGAAATAGACAGACTTATAGTTTGTTCTTAGGTTAGAGTCTCAATTAATAGCCTAAGATGTTTTTGACCTTAGTATTCTCTTGTCGTGACTTGTGAGGGTTGGAACAATAGAAGATCATCATGTCTGGCTAAAAGATCTCAGCCTCTTCCTTCTTTCTCCAAGTTTCTCCATCCTTGTCCAGCAGTAGCTTCGGTAGCCCTGTGATCATCACACTTGTTTGGCCCTGGAAGGACAATGACATCTCATCTGACAGTGTCTTGGCAGGAGGATTCCATTGTCGTCAGGCAATAGAGATGATCTAGAGAATAGTGGGAACAAAGGTGTGTGTGTGTGTAGGGGGGATGACTCAGAAATAAAGCGCTTGCCACACAAGCGGGAGAGCAGAGTTCAGATCCCTGGAAGTCACATAAAGCTGGGTATTAGAGCTCAGCCCTGCAAGTCCAGGGCCGCTACAGTGAGATGAGAGGCAGAGGTAATAGATTCCTTAGACCATGTCAGGCCTCTCATCTCAGAATATGACAAGGAGGAAAGTGAGGCCTGATGCCCCACATGGCACACACATGCCCATACTCACAATTCACAGAAACACATATGAACACACACACAATACACTCACAGACTCATTCACACACACACACTCACTCAAACACACTCACATTCTTCACATACACATGCACAGCACTCACATGCACACACTCACAAACATACATATATAAACACATACATAATACACACAGACACTCTCATACTCACACACACACTCACACACATACACACACACACACACACACACACACATGAGGGTTATCAGTGCTACTCCTTACAGAAATGGTGTGTGTTTTGCAACCAGGACTTCACGATTCACAGAGCCAAAATTCTGGGTTTGTGAGGCCCAACATCTTTAAGTGAGTTACGAGTGTTATAGGGAACATATTCTATTCTTTTGCTACCATTCCGATATCCAGACTGTCATACATTCCAGGCATTGAGGGTAGTCTTCCAGATATGGCATGAATTTAAAGTGACCGCCATCCTGAAGGGTCGCCTTCTTCGTGAGTCCTCATACCTAGCACAGTACCTTGACTGTATTTTCAAAACACCAGTCAGCCAGTCACCCAGGGAAGATAAATGGTGACAGCTCTGGGCATTGGAGTGTGTATAATATTATAGTGTATCCTACATCCTTCTGTGGTTATCCGTCTTTGGATGGAAAGTATACCCGGCTGTCTGACTTAGCTGGATCTCATATCAGTATCTCAGTAAGTGTGTCCTCAGATGGCTGACAACTACTAGAGAAAAGGCTAAACCCAATCTTGTTACTTGTTCTTATGTTTTGACTACATTGTTGATGTGGGTGAGTCTCTGTTTTGTGTTGATTTCATTGGTTAATAAAGAAACTGCCTTGGCCCTTTAATAGGACAGAAAATTAGGTAGGCGGAGTAGACAGAACAGAATACTGGGAGAAAGAAGCTGAGTCAGGAAGTCGCCATGACTCTCCTCTCTGAGATGGATGCCCATTAGACTTGTCCCGGTAAGCCACACTCAAGTGGCAATATGGATATTAGAAATGGGTTAGATCAATATATAAGAGCTAGCCAATAAGAGGTTATAACTAATGGGCCAGGCAGTGTTTAAAAGAATACAATTTCTGTGTAATTATTTCGGGGCATAAGCTAGCCATGCAGGAGCCGGGGCGCCCGGAACGCAGCCCACTGCTCCACTTACTGCACTGTGTCTGTCTCACACAGGTTGCTGGGAGTAGGTGGGGAGGCTTCAGAACCTACCCATTTACAGGTGAGGCAGGACGGGCAGCCATTCACAGCCATCCATGGCTCTGGTTTGAGTTCTCACTTCCTGATTCACCAAAATAAGAAGCATCTGTGCCATACAGCCCTGCAGCTGTGACAGGGCCACTGGGGTCTCTGAGCTCTCCTGTTTCCCTTTAGGGTGTGGTAATACATCTCTGTTGTTTGGCATTTTTATCACATTGCTAAAAACAAAACTAATGTAGTTGTCTCTCTTGGTCCGGGTGAGTTTTGTTTTTCTAGAATAGAAAGTGTTGACTCCAAACACCATGTCAACAAGTGGCTAAGATTAATGTCCTGGTTTCTTCAGTGATGACCACATCAAAGGGCGCCAGCTCGATTTCATTTTAGCAAGTGTGGTATTCTTTTAGCAGAAGTAGTTTGGGAAATAAAAACTGAGGCAGTCAAGTTTGGAGTGTTTAATTTATGGCACACAGGGGAAAGAACATGACAGACGGATGCTTCCTCACTGGTTGCATTAGGATGGCAAGTCACGACATTAAAATAGACACAAGAGAAGAATTGGTTTGGAAGGTTAAGACGGAAGTGCTACGTGTTTCTGATCATATCTCTTTGCTAATTTTTCTT